GGGGGTGAATAATTCCACTTGACAGACAGGGAAACCTGAGGACAGCGGTTCTCAGACTTTAGGGGCGTTGCTTCAAGTATGCAGATGTCCGTGTCACGTGGCCAGGGGATGAGTCAGCAGGACTGGGGTGGGGCTGGGCATCTGGATGTTTACTCAGACCCCTCCTCCCACTCCGCAAGCAGGTGGTCAGACCGTCGGGGGAGGGAACAGTACCCCGACCTCTACCCCCGCAGTGCCGTACCGTGTCGCAGTCCGGGCAAAATGGTTTCCTCTGGGACACTTTGCCAGTGCCTAGCTTTGGGTGGCATTGAACTCATCCCGCACTGACTCTTACTAATTTCACGTTGAGAGAATTTTCCAGATAACATGCCCCGCCACACCTGCATTTGATTATTTGATGACCCTTGCCGTTGAGAAAGGTTCTGAAATCTACCCTGCATCCTTCTTGTTGCTTTTTGGGGGCCTGTCTCTCCACTCCTCCCCGCTGGGGAGGGGGAGAGCTGGTCTTCAGAGCGCCCAAAAAGAACCGTAACTCCTTACGCGAGCTTTAGGAGACCCACTCTCTATGCCTGCATTAAAAATGAGAATTTTGTCATTTTGGGTGATTTTAAAAACGAATTTAATACGTTTAATAAAATGCATGGTGATTGTTAAAGGTTGGAAAAGACGTACTCTACTCATTCCCTTTTGTTGGACCTGCCAGTTGTTTTCCTTTTTTTTTTTTTTTTTAATCTTCACTTTTAAGGTCCCTTCTCTGGATCTGATCCATGCTTCCGCCCAGGTCACCTACTTTTTAGGTCAGCTTCCGTAAGGAAGTAATTTCCCTCCTCTGAGCCTCAGTCCCCTCATCTGTAGAGTGGGAATCATAATCCCTGCCTTAAAAGGCTGTGAAGCAGTATGTATAAAGTGCCTGCAGCCAGTAGGGGCCTAATAAAGATATTATTGCTTAGTATGCGCACTGTGTCCTGGCTGAGTTCACTTGCATGGCCCCTGAGTCTTGTATTGATCCCTAGTTATTTGCTTTTATTTGTCTGGGGGCTGTTGGTTCCTCTCCTGGGTGACCCTTGGGCTGTTTGAGCGGAGGGCGGGGGGTGTTTCTGGGGCATTGGGTCCATTGTGTAAGTTCAGTGGGCTGGTGAATAACTTATAGGCTAGTCCTTTGTTCCTAGGGGATCCTTCCCCTAGTCTCTGAGGCCTGGCTCATATGTCAGCTGGATCTCTGTAGAACAATAGCCAGAGATACACGGGGGCAGAGGCAAAGGCCAGCTGAGAGTGACATCTGTCTCTGGTCCTTCTCCAGGCTGATCAGATCAGATGAGGCAGGTGTCCCCTCCTCCCACCCCCCGCCCTTGGGGTCCAGGTGGGCCCCTATGGAAGCTGGATGAGTCATGGAAGGGAAGGACAGACTGAACCATTGTGTCCTCAAGGGTATGGAGTAGATAATGAATGATAACCATCGCCTCTACAATTTCGTGACCCCTTACCAGGCTTCTTGCTGGGTGCTGCCTCATGGAGACCCCCATGGAAAGGCTGGGAATTGGGCATTCCAGCTGAGAAACGGAGGCTCAGCGAGGTAGCGTGATTAGCTCGGGATCACACAGCCAGTTGGAAGGAGAGTCAGGACTTGACCCGGGGTCCCTCTGACTCTGAAACGTGTGTTTAACTCTACTACACTCCACCACCTCCTCTCCTAAATGTCAACTTAATCGGTTGTCTCGAGACCGTGGAAGCAGTTGGAATCAAAGGACCCGGCGTGGTTTAGCGATCGTGGGCCAGTTTCCCCACAGTAGTACTAACGCTGCTGAATGCAGTGTTTGCAGTATACACGTACCTTCCCGGGGTCTTCTCCCGTGTCACCCCCACCCCATATTTGAACACAAGTCTTCCGCCCGTTTGGGGATCAACAAGCCTGTTTAGAATCCAGTTGCACCACTTTCTGGCTGGGTGATGTTGGAGCGAGACACCTCCAAACCGTGTCCTCATCTGTAAAATGGGGACAAGAAAACCCCGTTTATTATTTTGACAGGTAGGTGAAAGTGCCCCCAGTTAGCATCTGTTCTCAATACGTGTTGGTTTCCCGTCGTTCTCCTCCTCTGGCTCTCTTCCCTCCCCCTGCAGCTCGGGGTGGGGGGGGGCCCTTGTGTGAGGGCGACTTGAATTTCAAAGCTCCTCTTTTGTGTGTGGCCCGTTTGGGTTTGTCCAGAAACGGGGCTTTCCACAGCTCTGCAGACGCGTCTGTTTCCCTCAGCTCGGCTCTTGCGCCTCTCGCTTCTCGCTCGCCTTATCCCCGGGAGGTTCCCGTTATTTCTCGGCACTCACTCATCCGGAGCAATTTAGGCCAACATCTCCCGTATGCCGGCTCTCTGAGCAGCAATTTATTCCAGAGTCAGGGAAATAAAAACAAAAACCCAAGAACCCAGAGGGACCCTAAAATGCAACCAAATGCATATTTCCCGGGGCAGCTGTCTCCCCCCGCTTACCAGGAACGGCACAGAGTTTGGGGGGAACAGGGATATCCCACGATGGTGTTAATGAGCCGTGTGTGCCATGGTAGTAGTAACAGTGTAAGAAAACAATAGCATGCGCGCTAATAGGTCGTATTTATCATCCCATGTGATCCTCACGGCAGCTCCGTGACGTGGGCACCATTATTAGCCCATTTCGTGGGTAAGAACACAGGCCCAGGGCCGTGGTGCACTTGGCTCGGTGTGGAGCAGCAGGACACAGCCCGTGCCTTCGAACCCACGTCCTGTCCAATGCGTAAGGATGTTTAGGTTGGCGCCGGCCCCGCCGAGAAACCTCCC